GAAGTTTTGTCTCTTGTTCAAGCATTGAAGCTTCAGTATGATTTAAAGCAGCACGGGCAAACGCAAGTTGACTTTCCAGAACACTAATAGACTTTTCATACTCTTTAATAACGGGTTTGACAGTATCTTGGAAATCATTAAACTGAGACTTATCAAGAGTAAACTCTTCAACCTCATTAATGGTTGTTAAATTTGAAGAGGTAGGACTTAATAAAATATTATTTTTATTATTTGGGTCATTTCGATATATTTCAAGTTCGGAAGATTTGTTCGCGTAATTTTGATATAATTCATTATAAGAACGTTGAAGCTCTTCAAGTTGTTCTTCAAGAGCTTCAATATTTTTATCATTTTCTGTTTTAAGGTTGGTATCAATATGCAATGGGGATGCTGAACGAGGAATTTGACTAGGAGTTTCACTTATATTATCCAATGTTTTCTCACCAGATATATTCGATGATCTTAAATTTTTAATTTCAGTTCTTAATTTTAAGACGAGATTCTGTAAATGTTCCAAATCATTCCATCCAGCTTCTTCTTGCGTAATTGTTGCTATATTCTTAATGTTTCGAGCCCGATTTGCATATTTAAGAGTATTAATTGTTTCAACAACGTTATGTTCAGCAGGTGAGACACAGGCGATCATTAGTGTCAGCGCATTACCACCAAGAGAATCTTGTAATAAACGTGTAAGTTTCGAGTCTCGATACGGAATATGAGTCATGTTCTTTGCTTTAATTGGGTCACCCAGAGCAGAAATAACATTTCCTAAAGCGAGTAATCCAGAGTTGATAGATATACCTTCTTTTATACGGTCACAATTTGTTGATGTACGCTTAAGCTATGAAAATTTTAAAGATTAGACATTTATTTACGTGACATTTTCATTTAGAGGACTTACATACCCTTTCACTACCAGCTAAATCTACAAAATGAAATTTGCTTGTTACAGAAACCCAAGTCCCATCCTCAAACCGCCTACTTAGTCTTGAATTCGACCTTGACAATTTTGTGTCTGGAAGTGGAGTTGTAGATGGGGTCATTGGTAATGGACTTGCACAGTGATCGCTTGTTGGTATAAATTTTTGTTGTGAAAGAATAACAGTGAAAATAGCATGAGATCGAGATGACTTTGCATTCATATCTGTCACACCAACTTGTCGATTTAATGAACCGCGCGATAAATGACTATAAAAAAAAAAAACAATTAATTACTTTAAAAAAACCTAAAATAATTTAAATAATCACATATGTAGAGATTAATATTTACCCTAAAACTTCCCCGACACTATTAACTTTGATTTCTTGTAATCCACTCAATATTATACTTCCTTTCGAGTCTTCCCTAATCAAGAGTTGTGGCTTATTCTCATCGTTACTTTCAGAAAGTAAGTCAATAAGATCTTCATTATATAATTCTACAAAGGAAACTTTCATCGAAAGTTTACGTAGTTTGTATTGAGTTGAATTTACTGCAGAGAAAAGGGTGGACATTGCACGTGGA